GAAGGATTATGTTGGTATGTTATCTTTTTAGGTTGAAGTATTTAAATCCAAAAAGTTTTTTATTCTACATTAAAAATACATAACTTTTTTCTCATGAACATATAATATATATACTAAAAGACTTTAGATCCCACTTTGAAGAAATAATTTTTTTTTTTGTGAACATAGAGTATATATACTAAAGGGTTTCAAATCCCATATTAAAAAAATAAAATATTATTCTAGTATTTATATACTAAAGTTTGAAAAGGATTAATAAAATATATATAAAGAGGTCTCTAGCTACGAGAAAAAACACATTTGAAAAAAAAAACCAAGTCTTAACCAGGGTTTATTAGGTCACTCGAGTCACGAGTCAACTCAGCAGATCAACTATGTTTTTTACTCATCCTGGTTTTTTGCTTTACTAAGATCGGTCCAGCCATCGATTCTCGAGCCGACTGGTTAGGTAGTTTCGGGTTTCATAACCATGACTTACTTATTTTACAATAATCTTATATCAAACAAGAAGAATTAATTGATCATAAATTAATTTTTATTTTACAAGTCATTAGGTTTTTGTTCAACAATTATTTTTCAATAATTATTTTTTTATATATTTTTTACTATCATATGTAGCAAAAAGTGAAAAATAATCTTAAATTGTTGTTTCATTTATTTTATTTTTTATAACCTTATTTTAATTAGTTTGAGTTTATTTGAATTGAGTGCATGTCTAACCTATTAATTTTAAGATTTGTATATAAATATTTTTATATAAAAATCCTTATTTAGTTGATGAATTTTTATGGAAGGTTATGTATATTATGTGTTTTTTTGTTTTTATATAATTGAATGATTCTTATACTAATTTTTTGAATGAACATGCAAACCTTTTAAATAATTAATTAATTTTATTGTGATTTATATTTTTTATTCAATATAAATGATATGACTAATTATATATAAGTTTGGTTTTTTCAAAAAAAAAAACACACTCTTGTTAGGTAAAGTTTCATACTTTTCTTCCAATCTTAAATAAAATACAATTCTGATCGCAAACCCATTCATGATTCAAATCTCCACTTTAATTCTCATTATGTTAAATTGCATATTAAGACTATTTGAGTAAAATTTAAATGCTATTAAAGCTTAAAATAAAATAGGAAGGGTGAAAGAATATTCCTTTCAAATCTTTCAAATCATATTGCTGGACAGAAAATAAAAATAAAAATAAAAATAAAAATAAAAATAAAAA